AGCACCGACTCCCTCTTCTCTTTTACCCAAGCGGTCTTGAACCAATCCTTCCTTCTACAGTCCGACTAAACCGGTTCTCCAGCTACGATGCACCTCCTGCGCATCTGTCTCGTCTTCCTAGGCCTCGTCACTTTTCCCATCGGCTATGGAGATCTCGGCCACGAGATCGCCGCCCGAGCGACCTTCTCGCAGTTCAACAAGATGAGCCTTGCTCACTGCGCGGAGCGATTGGCTGCCGACCGCGTTCACGAGAACGCTCTCCGCCTTCGCGTTGATATTCTTCGGAACGTCGTTCAGGCTCGCGGTGAATAATTGCCAGACCACGGCCTCTCAAGGACTTTCGCTTATGATGCTGTGCTGACTGGACAAATCTGGTAGACGACAAGAGCCCTATCAATGTCGATCACTCGGCCAACGGCGAGAATTTCACCACCAGCACTTCTCCCGAGGATCTGTTTGCGCAGTTCAAGTCTGTTGGTCGTGACGGCTACGTTCTGGCGCCCGAGTCGACTGAGGGCCCGTTTTGTATACATATCACTTTCCTAGTTTAGTTCTGTTGTCTTATTTAGCCTAGACTGATCCTGTGATTTCTTCAGACGTTGACGGAGAGTACAATCGGAGCGATCTCGCGGAGGCACAGGTTGGAGTCCTGCTGTGAGTTGTTGTCCTCCAGCTATCTTGTTTCTCGGGATGATATTCTGGTACCACCTTAGTGAGCTAACTGCTGTCTCTGTTAGGTGTACGTACTCATATGATATTACCCGTCTCCTTGATGTTTGTTGATGACACCGGGTGTCCAGATGCGGACCTCCAAGTCATTGACTCGTCGACTTGCAAGCCTGCTCCCAATATTTTCGTCGAGCGGTGGAGCAAGCCATGCATGTTTCGGAAGTTCCCATAAGTGTCATTAACCAATGACGGTCATGTTCAGGCTGCAACTCAACCGGCGTTTACGGAGGAATCAAGTTCAAAGAAGACCCTGGCAAGATCCATTACTCGTGGCTCCGGGGACTGCAGGAGACCAAGGCGGACGGATCAGTGTACTTTAGCGCCCTCGTCCCTGGCCATTACACTGACCGGTGCCCACATGTGTGCGTTGCTTGCAAGCCCGATCATAAAAACTGTCCCAGTTCTGACTTGACCAGACACGTCGCAACACACATTAACGCCACTGTGCTCCCCAACGGCACCATCTTCAGCAACGCGGTGTCCCATGCCGGGCAGTTCATCTTTGACCAGCCTCTCCTTGACACCGTCTTCGAGCTCGACCCGTGCACCTTGAACACGAACCTGCTCGTGAAGAACGTAGACGACGCGTTCCTAGTGGGCGAGTCTCAAACCAGCGACCCATTCTTTGAGTGGGCTTACGTGAACACCTCGTCGCCTCAAGCGGGAGTGCTGGCGTGGATCGCGTTTGGCGTCAACTTGACTCATGTGCGACATCTCAGTCCTGCAGCAACGTTTCCGGCCGTGTCTCCTCGCGAGACGGCGATCTCTGGTCTCTGATTGCGATTTGATTCATCGACAACATTTCGGGGGGGGGGGGGGGGGGGGGGGGTTTAACTGAGAGGAAAGAAATCTGACCATCTATCTAGCCTGGCGCTGTCTGTGTTCTTTTGGGCGAATGAAGCAGTTCACTTGCCGTATAGTCGAGAAAATTAGGTAGCGTCTGGTAGATGGATACAAATCTGATCTGAGCTGTTCTGTTGGGGTGGGTTTCGTCTCTCATTACTTGATCACCCTTTCTCCCCTTTTCTTTTTGATTATTGCAATCCTGTATTGGACCTTTTCTGCCTCCGCTAGATTGACATTTTCTGCCCTTTGCTTACTCTCGTCTCGTATTTTAATAGTTGAACTTGTACTAAACGCACTTCATCGAATCTGTCTACAGGCAGCTATTTTATTCATTCTTGGAGAATTCCTGATTATACTGAGTGATGCTAGCACCACCTGACCCACACTGACGATATAATACGTCTATTTCATCTCCGGATGATGCTTCCCACAGAGCTTCTTCCCGCAACAGCCCTTCAGCACACATCCTTCCTCACCGCAGGGGATACAACAATCCCCCCTCCCGCGCAGCGTCTCCGCAAGGCATTCCAGATGGGCCCTCACAACCGGCTCCTGCGTCTCGGCATTCTCCAAGAGGATCTCGAGCGCCGTTTTCCCCTCAAACAGAAGCGTCGGGTCCGCCCCCCTGCTCTGCAAGAAGTACAGGAACGCGTGCTCGTTCCTCGCCCCGCGGTCCGAGATGGTGGTCCGCCGCCGCCCCTGCGAGCCGCCCAGCTCGCGGCAGATCTGGTGCAGCGCCGTCGGGCCGGACCAGCCGCAGATCTGGTGGTTGATGTCGGCGCCGGCCGCGATGAGCTGGTCCATGGTGGCGAATGCGGTCCGCCGGTACTCTTCGTTGCTGATCCGGAAGCACTGCCAAATCAGGAAGTTTGAGAGTACTGTGCTGACGTCTTCGGCGTGAGGGCCTTTTTCTTCGAGTAAGATGTTGCGGAGGACTTCTCGTCCTGCTGTGCGACTAGGTCCAGTTGGTGGTGGTGGTGGTGATGGACCGAGGCAATGAATGTTGTCAGAGGAGGGCACGTCGTAAAAGTGAAGCAGGCTAGCCGTGTGGCCGCGAGCGCCGCCGTGCTGCACGATCAGCTTGATGGCTGCCGGCAAGAGCCCGTCGCCGCGCAGATTCTCGAGCTGGAATCCACCGTAGTTGTCGAGCAGGAACTCGATGGCGATGGGCGTCTCGACGCAGTTGAGCCGGTTCCATGTCGCCCACCTGGTCGAGGCCTTGTCAAACACAGGGTGGTCTGCGTCTGCGTCGGTTTGTGCGGCGGCTGCTACAATATTTGGCAGGGCGCCGTGCTCCAAGAGCCATGTCATTTTATCGAGCGTGTCATTGTGGCGGCGGGCGGTGCTACCACGACGCCGTTTTCTCCACGACTTGACGGATTGTAGAAAGATGAGGAACGGTGTGGTATAGAAGTAATCCCAGTGGTCCTCCACGACGGGTGCCAACTGGTTGAGGTCAGCTCCGCTGTCCAGACATAGCTGCATCATCGCCGTCCCATGATCTGCGACTGCCATCGTTTGGGCCGCTGCAAACACTGGAATGTGTAGCCCTGTCTTGACTAGCGTTCTCGCGTCCTTGCCATGGATGTTGGCGCCCTGTTCGAGAAGCAGACGGAAAATACGTTCCGAGTTGGCCAAGATAGCTGCGGAGAGCGGAGAGATTATCTCCTGGTGTTTATAAGTCCAGACACGGTTCGGATCCGCGCCACGATCGAGGATGACATGGATAAGATCAGACGGTGCCTTGGCTTTAATGAGCTGAAAGAGAGGTAGCGCGACATCTACTCCCTGCCCCGCTTTCCGAATCTCCTCGTCAAACCCTTTCTCGTATAAAGACCGGAAGAGAGGCCAGTTGGACGACCGCGAGCAAAGATTGTTTAGCATGGACTTCACCTGCCCGTTGAAAACATGCCGGCAGGTCTGGGGCGCCACCAAACTGGCTCCGGATTCCATCAAGACTTGGAAGGCGTCAATATTCTTGGCTGCGACAGCCAGGGTCTGCCAGACCCCATCGATGCGCTTGAGTCGGAGAGGGCTCGGATTCCACACCGGTATGACCTCATGGCCCATGGTGCCGAGGCGCAACAAGGACACAAACTCGTTCCCGATGGCAAGCCCAACGCCGCCAATCGTGCTGACTCGTGCGCCGTATGATATCGCCAGGCGCAGGGTATGGAGATTCCCCCGTCGACATGCCCAGCGCATGGCCCGGACCTGGGCATCCCTGTCTCGGTACAAAACTGGCTCAACCATCCACTGGAACAGTCTGCTGCAGGAAAGAAGCCGTGCGAGGTCCAAGTGGTCCAAGTATTTGCCAATGGCGTCTAGCATCTCCTGCGGGAGTGCTCCAAGGCTGGGAGTCATGGTAGGAGATTAAAAGGGCTCCAAGGCCCCGGTATAAAAGAGAAAGGAGGAATGAATTTCATGAAAAGATAAATGAATCTTGAAAGGATGAAGATGATACGGGCCGGCAACAAAACGAAAGAGCAAAACCAAAACAAAAAGAAAACAAGAATAAGATCTTTCTGGAATTAATTCAAGCATTGAATTATAATAACACATAACAGAAGGTTGTAATGTGCTATTTTGGGGGATGAGTGGCCGTTTGTTGGAAGCCAGGTCCGGGCTTGCTGTGCCTTTTGGTGTCACGGCCTCTCCACCGTGGCCAGCTTCGACTTGTTATAAACGCAGAAATAAGCACTAGGCCACCTACTTTCATCATCATGGGCACCGCCATTTTTTATCTTGTAGTAGAAACAAAAGCCTTTCAACTTCTGTTGAAGTCTTTCAAAGCAAGGTGAGCCCGTGAATGACACCGGCGAAATGCACCACCTCAGCAACTGATAAGACGCCGTGAAACTTCAGCAATAAATCTCTCTCGCCGCCGCTTTGTGTCGAATGGAACTGCTCCTTATTCAACCACAAATAAGCGGCGGGGGAAGGAAGGTTCTGTGCCGCATCTAAAAGATGAGAAAACACGAAAAGTTGATTTTGGGACGAAACACAGACCGACAATGTCCGTTTCAGATAACACGCCGAATAAGGTTCTCTTTATTTGTGATCCCAATTTCTTTGAAACATTATCGAGCCAATTTCTGACTTACAGGTTCTTATAAGCGTGACCGAGTCGTTCTCAGGCTGAGTCTGATTGACGAAAGGAAGACCATTCATCAGGGCAGAAGGAAAACATTTGCAAATACAATCTAATTATTCCACATATCACCTTAGTTCCATGGTTTCATCTTTTGCAGATTCTCCTTTTAGCAACGGCGATCAATAGGACTTGCGTCGGTCACAATAGCAATGATAATATGCTAAAACAACACGACCCATCCTTGTAAGTGGAGATGAGGAAAGAACGATCTAGACACGATTATCCCGCAACACACCATCAACCAGCTACGACAGGTGCCCACACCTGCAAATCTTCCGTAGTATAGTGGTCAGTATATGAGCTTGTCATCTATCATAGGATCTCGCTCGGGACCCGGGTTCAATTCCCGGCGGGAGAGAACTCATCTTTTTTCATTATTTTTTCTAATTACAAATTCAAATGTTAGAAATATTTCAATAGCCTCGTTTGGTCACTCGAATTCTTTTCCTCATCCATACTTGAATAAAATGAATTTAAAAAGCGACTTGTATTTTCCTGAAAATTGAATCTTGAGGGGTGCAGCGGCGGCGACTGTCCACCTCACCCACCCGGTGTGTGTCGAAATTCATAGCCCCAGCTTTCGACCCACCTCGGCATCCAACAAAACAAGCCTTGTTTCGGTCGGGTGGCGCAATGTTCGTGTTTCCAACGTTCCCAAAACTCCACCGCAATTACTAACTCGCTTTCAATCTTCAGGGTAGCGTGTGGTCCTCCTATAAGAAGGTTCCAGACTGAGGTTGTGGGTTCGAGTCCCATCTCGATCGTCTCTTTTTTGGGCCCGTCTTATTCATTTTCTTATTTTGAAATACGGTGCAAATAATCTTTGCCTTGCTTTCGAGGCCAGACACGCTCATATTTTTAGTCAACATTGAACACGGAGCAGCTAGCTAGGTAGACGAAGGTGGATTTGAAGCTCGTTTAACTCTTTGGTTCCCTGGCTCGCGCTATTGCATTCTTTTTTGCTAGATGGAAGTGGTGAGCGATCTTTGAAAATGGAGAAGAAGCATCGCAGGTACGGGAAGAGCGCACATCATTGCAGATACGGTGAAATGAGAAGAGTGGCTGTTGTTCTTGTCATCGTCGAAATGGGTAGTGACAATGCCACATAGCAGGGATTTTGTTCTAAGAACCCTTGGTGCGCATGACCGCAGAGGCGCGCCCAGATGAAATAATGGAAGCGAAGTTGTAATTACTTCTATTGGCGATGTTTACTGCAAGTTTCTGTTCTTCACTTCTTCTCGGCGATAGAAAGGAGTAATGAGAACATTACGTTGAAGGTTTGTTTACCGGAATGGGGGCAATGCAAGCCGCCACCCACCACCCCCCCCCGGGCACAATTGTATCATTCCGAGCCGAGTAAAAGGAAACAAAATGTAAAAAAGGGCTAGGATGACTGCGAGTTTGTTGCTGTTTGACTACCTAGCTCCCTAATGTTCTAACCCCAGCCAGTACATTGGCTCATGGTTAAAAAAAACTGCTTGTGGCTAGTTTGACACCATGACGACATGAAATGTAAAAGGAAGTAAGGTTATAAGCCAAAATTGGGGTGACAAAAGAAAAACCACCAAGTAGGTGGGCTGAGAGCCTTTTTCTTATCGTCCATGTCAAGCCTGAGATGCGAGGATCAGAATTCCATCGCCCTGAGTGAGAACCTTGGCCTCAGGCAATAAAAAACAAAACCTCGTGATGCAACTTAACCGCTGCTACTCATATCTTTCTCCACTATTCCAAGTTTACGTTCATCTTCTACCACCCTTTTCCCCCTCTTTCCCTCTATTATTATTCCCTATCGCCTTTTTTTTTGGCCCCCTTCACATCTTTCTCATGATACCACGACGGTCCCGGCGGGCAGGAATCGAACATCTGTCCAGTACGCCATCAATTCCTTTTGGTCATTGCTGTTCTCGAGCTTGTCCTTGTCGTTCTGAAGTCCCAAGCACACGTCATTGCTCGGGCACTCCACGCTTCTCACAATGTCGGCGAACCCGTACGGCTCCAGGTCGGCGATGTTGCTGAAGACGCGCTGGTTCAGTAAATTTGGAAACTGCTTCCAGGTTGTTCCCGGGGAAATCTTTGGGCATGGCGAGCTGGGGATTCAAGAGGTTTAGTAGTTAGTTTAGATCCGATGTAGTTTTCTCCCTCCTTCCTCGTTGTGGGGGGAGGGGAAGTGAGGCTGGTTTAGGCTGGGTTGGGTTGGGATTGGGGGTATGTGTACGAAACGTTGAAAATGTGTGTGTGTGGGGGGGGGGAGGGTTGTCTCTACACAAACGAGACGAAAGAGGGGAAGACACTTCGATGGTTTGCTACAGCACACATACCGATATAGAACACAGCATATGAATTGGTCGTTCATCGTGATGGACTGTACTTTGGCGTGACTGGGAATGTCGACTGTTTTGTTGTTTGTTTGTCAGCCCCCCTTCCTTGCGCGCACAGAGGTTTTCTGAGAACCTTCCTCTTCACATGATTGTGGAAGAGAGAGACAGAGAAAGGGGCAGGATGAAGAAAGGAAGCATGAGACTATACCACAAGAGCTAGTTTGCAAGTCAACTGACTGAATGTCACACTTGTTGCCCGTGAAACCCGGCTCAGAGAACAGAGATAGGCCTAGGTGGTTGCCCATGCCGTTTCCCAGCGCCGTAGCGACGGAACCCTGACCCAGGCCGAGGAGACAAATGGCAGCGGCGGCTACAGTACGGAGACCTAACATTGTTTCGTCTGTTGGAGGAAATGACAACGAGAGAAATGGGAGAGTTGATTTCAAGGAGAGAAAAAAAGAAAAAGAAAGAGGAAGAGCGGAGGTAACAATAATTGCGATATGAAGGACTTAGTCACTTAGTTATGAGGCGAGGCTAACACCCCAGGGACGATTGGGGCGGGAGATGATCAAAGGCTGGGCTCCAGTTCTCCAAGGTTTGATGAGAAGACGGTCTCCTTGTTAGCTGGGGCCCCATCAATTTCAAACTGCTTTTCATTTTTGGCTATCAGATAACGTTTATGTAGGTCAAGGAAGCATGCATGCCGCACGCAGGAAACAAACGTTCTTGGAAACAGGCGGAGTCTTTATTATCTTCAGGTGGCATAAAGTTGTCACACGTATACTAGCTCTTCAACGCTTTTTCGCCTTGCATGTTGCGGGGACTGGCTGACACGCGTGACTCTCTGCATGCATAGAGGCCTATATTGAACTCAAATGTCGCGTTTGGTATGTGTGGGGGAAAGGGCTGCATATAACGTTTTAGCTTTAAAAGTATATATTGTAGTGAGCGCGTGGTGAGTAACTGGATCTAGGCCCGGTTTCAGTTTTGTTGACTTGCGCCTCGGCAAACATCACCTTGGCTGTGGAGAATATCGCCACGCAACCGCGATCCCAAAAAGATAACGCAGAGTCTTTCTATCGATAATGCGAGTTGTCATTTGTATGGATTAAATCTTTTCGAGAACTCATGATTGACTGAGATGAGGACTGGAGCTAACAATAAACTCAGGTTAGGTAAGCAAACGGCGGAGTTCTACCAAAGTAAGCCGACAGTAGTTTAGTCTTGGGGGAAGTCGACCCCTCCCACGAATCTCCATGTCATCACGCAAATCGCTAGAAGTAAGTGTTGTATGTACAACTCGACTGTCTAGATCTACCTCCCTGGTGAATGGAGTTCATCATTTATGCCCCTTGTCCATTACGGTCCCGCTGCGGTTTAGCAACGACGACATTGTTTTTGGTGGAGACGCCAGGAACGAGCATTATTGCCCCTTATTGTTCATTAATCTGGAAGAGAGAAGAATTAGTTGGAAATTTCGTATACTGATTATTCACTCTAAAGTCGCCTTTGTTTGTTTGAGTGCCACTATAACAAGGTAGGTAACTGTTTGCATAGACAATATAATGGGGTGGTTTTATTATCAATTCAAACAAGTGAGATTGGTTCCTGAAGCGCCATTCGCCAAAAGCTCTTCAAAAGAGACAAAATAATGGCATTAGACCGGCAAGATGCTCCCTCCGCAGATAATAGTAGTAGTAGGATCCCCATTCTCGTTTGAAAAAAGAAATAAGAAACCAAACCCCCCTGCTTCCCGTGTCTCCCACTTCCTATTCCCTGGAACTACTTCCCCCTGACACAAAACAAAAGATGCCCCTTCTTTTCTTCAAGGCGTGACGGTGAAGGTCGGGTAGGCGATGCGGCCGCTGCCGATAGTTGGGGTCGGAGTGGGCTTGCTGATCCATGATATGCCCTTGTACTCCGGTACGAAGACCTCTTTGTCATACTGCAATGGGGCGGCATGGATTTTCTTGCGCACGTCGCGTTCGCAGGCAGATAGCATTGGGTCGTACAGCTCGGTGCAGTTTGAGGCGTCGCCGCCCGGGCAGTACCTGTCGAAGCCTAGCGCCATGAAGATTTTACGACCCGACTTGTAGTAGACGAACCCAGATTCGGAGGTTTGGCGCAATTCGGCGAGAGCATTATATATCTGGGAGCGGGAGCACAGGGCTTCTTCACGGTAGTTGCAGATGAACGCTGCAATGATCTCGCCTGGTTCGCCTGTAAAACACCGGACTTTGCCCCCAGGGTACCGTGAGAGCTTGGTATCCGTTTCGCACCAATCCGCCAGACATTCGACGGCCAAGTCGAGCTTTTCATTGTCGATTTTGTTGTGGGTTGCGAACGTTTTTTTGAATGGAGAATTCTTGGGTTTGTCTTTTCCAAGCCCTGCGTTTACTCCGGGGAGAAGGGTTGAGCCCCAGAGCAGGAGGCTCGTCACCCAACGCTTTAGCAACATTCTGAGAAGTTTTCGCTGTCGAAACGCGAGTGCCCAGGCTGGAAAGAAGGGATAGCGAGGGAGGCGAGGGATTGGGGTTCGTTATGATGAGAAGGCGAGGGTCCCACGCACCGTGGAGTTGTTTGAAGAAGCATAAAGAAGAAGGAGAGAAGGAATTGCCATGAAGGATGGGGTCATATGGCCTCCCTTTTTATTACTCTTTGGCTTTGGACCTTTCTTCTTTTCTTTTATTATAGTTTTGTTTTATTCATCCATCTGTGGCGGCATAACGCCTTCCCACGGCTCACGTTGTTTTCGCGTTGGCTTTGGCTTGCATTTCGGTTTCAAGCATCCCGTACGGGAACTCTTTTTAATGGGACCTGACTTCGAAAACTCGGTCATGTGGCCCAAAGGCCCAGACTCGCCACCGCTATCAAACTTTGCGCCGTGGCCGGCCAATTGGGCTTTTCCTTCACTTTGATAGCCCAGCTAGCTGATAGGGTGGGCATTGTTTATTTTCGAGGTGTTTCGAAGTTGGTTAATGGGCCCATATATCGAGCTTTGGATGGCGCGTTGGGATCGTTTCTTTGCAGAGGCTCAACA